GATCGGCGGCTTCTCGATCGCCAGATCGATCCAGATCGGCCGATTCTGGACCACTGGCGGCGTTCAACCTTGAACGCCTGCGGCGGAGTCGCAATCGCATCGGCACGATGCAGACCTAGCGTGCGAACATTCTCGGAGGTCCGCGAAATCCCCAGTCGGCTCATGGGCGAAAAACATATCCGTATCCGCGGCCTCGCGGGCGGGGCCCCTGAGCCGCGACTCCGCGGATACGGGACGTTTTTGTTCGCGGATGCCCCGCGCGGAACGTCTCCGTACCAACGCGCATCCGCGGGATCGCGCCTCGGGATGCACACCGCGGAAACGGATATGTGCGCCGCTCGTGATTGGCGCCGGACTCCCCCCCCCATGCCGCTTGCCTCAGGTCGGGCATGGCCTCCTACAGGCGGATTTTGGAAGAATTATAAAACGTAACCAAAACATACTCAAACATAGTCAAAAAACATATATATATATATATATATATATATACACACAAGAACCGTCCCCTGACTATTCCTTGGCTATTTCTGAAGATTCCTCCTGGAAGGGGGTACGCCCGACTGCAAGCCTGCCCTCACCGCTTCCCCAGCGCACGAGCCGCGCTGGGGCGCCAAGGTGCGCCGCCAGCGGGCGGCAGGGAGCGGGGCACAGCGCCGACCCGAGAGAGATCCGCCGCGGGCCTCTCTGGGAGCTCTGCTCTGCCAGGAGGAGGAGTGGGAAGGTGCCTCCAGGGCAGCATCAGCCAGAGGCCTCCCAGATGGGGTCCGAGCAGATGGGGTCGGAGGATCTCGCCGCATCGCCGATACATCGGCGATGCATCGCCGATGCATCGGCCATGCACTGGCGACGTCGGCGATGCATCGGCGACGTCGGCATGGAGGAAATTAAGCCCCACATGGAGCCGCATCGCTGATGCATCGCCAATGCATCGGCGATGCGGCGTGATCTTCCGACCCCATCTACTCCGGCCCCATGTAGGAGGCCTCAATCAATAGAATGGGTGAGCAACCCAGCTCCGTAGACACGCGGCGCCGGGAAGGTCAGAATCGATGCATCTTCTGGGAAGGCGTACCCCGCTGCTCCTGCCATCGCACCCACCTCATAAGCGCTGAGGAAAAGCCCGTCGGGGTGGGACCAATGTCTCCAGGACCTCTGGGCGTCAGACCCGGCAACGGCCACGGTCGCCGTTTCTCGTGACCCTGGTCCCGGGGGAAGTTAAGAACGAGTAATGTCCGCGGCTCCAGGGGACCCACGTCGTGCAAAAGAAAAAGCGGCGGCGGACGCCTGAGCCACCCGCGTGCCGAGGTCTGCGGGCGGTGAAGGAGGCAGCAGGGGGGACCTCTCCTCTGGTTCCTCCTCTCCCGCCTCCTCCATCCCTCCCTCCGCCCTCCCTCCCTCCCTCCCACCGCCTCGTCCTCCCATTCCTGCCCCTTCTCCTCCCTCCTCCGTCAAGCTCATCCTACTTTTTCTCCCCCTCCTCTCATCCTTCCCTCTCCTCCTCTTCCTCCATCCTCCCCCTCGCTCCTCCTCGAGCCCTCTCCCTCCTCCTCCTTCTCCTCCTCCTCCTCGTCCTCCGTCCTTGCTCCTACAAATAAGGCGTACTCGTCTGAACACCATACATATCCGTAAGGCGGGCCAGGCGTTGCGCCTGCGACTTCCTCCCCGCCTACGGCTTCTAAACGCAATATCACAGAGGCGGCAATGTAATTTTCAAAACGTGGTTCCCGCCTTAGCGCCGCGCGCAGTCGTCTCTAAACCTTCAACGATTGCACGGGTGGAGCACGGGACGTTTCAAGAATATGTCTTGCCTGAGCACTGCGCACATCCGTCTCAAAAGTTTCAAGCATTCGCACGCGTAAGGGGAGTCCTTTGCCAACTGTGGCTCTCGCCTTGGCGCCGAGCACCTTTGTCTTCAACGTTCCTAACAACTGCACGAAAGGAGCACATGTTGTTTCCAACATGAGGCCGTCGCCTCAACACCGCGCGCACTCGTCATAAAACAATACAACCATTGCACAGATGGAGCACAGGCCATTTCCATAATGTCGCTTTCGGTTCAGGGAAGCACGCATTCGTCTTAATTAAACAGTTCCTCCAGATATACGGGTGAAGGGCGCCGCGCGCATTTGCTTTGAAGGCTTCCAACACTTTCACGACTGGATCACCGATCAATTCAGAGTCTGGTTATCTCCGTAGCGCCGCCAAAGTGCATCTTAGACACTTCCAACGGCGGCACAGCGGGACCACGTGCCATTGTCAAAACGCGACTGTAGCTTTCCAGCGCAGCGCGAATCTGTTGTAAAGCGCTGTGGAACATCCACGGGAAGAGGGCGACTCCGTTTCAACGTTTGGCTTTCGCCTTGTGCGCAGCTCGAGATTGGTGTTACGCGCTTCCAGCATGTACGCGGATGGAGGGGGGTCGCTGTCAAAAAGCGGACCTCGCCTGAGCGCCGCGCACATTCGTCTTAACAGCTTCCAGAAGCTACACGGGTGGAGGGTGGCTTCTTTTCAGCACAAAGCGGTGTTCGATCTTTCGCAGCTCCGGATGGTCAACTACCACAAAAGTGTGCAATAACTAGACGGATGGAGGGCGACTGCTTTTCGATGCGGGACTCTCGTTTGAAACTTCCCAAGGTTTTACGACAGTGTTTCAAACCTCCAGGAATCTCCAGAGGGCCCGCTGAGTTCCCAAGGCCACGGTCGCCGACAGAGCCACCATCCCTGCGGCTCCTTGGTCCGAACCAAAGCCCGTGCGACGGGACACGCAGAACGGCTGGGACAGCCACGAGCGAGAAATACAGTGCGAGAGTAGGCCATGCGGCCTGAACAAGGAGGAGGAGGAAAGGGAGGAGGAGGAGGAGGAGGAGGAGGAGGACAGGTTCTATGAAGGTTTTATGGCCAGACGCTTCAAGCATCACGCATGGCCACACTCTGCACGGACCGAGGGCGGCTCCTCTTCGAAGCAGGGGCGCTCGCTGGACGCACATCCCTGGACTTTCTCGTCCTCGCTCGTCGCCCTCGTTCGAGAGAGGAGCGCGGATGGGGCTCTCACCTGAACTGCAGAGCCACGGGGGGCTGATCTTTCTGAAGCTCTTCCCGCAGTGGACATGTGAAAATGTGCTACTTTCCCGCATGGGGCTGATGAGGAGGGGACTTGGGGACGTACGTGCGCATTGCAGCATCGCTGATGCATCCTGCGGGGACACGGGGGCCCTCCTCCTCCTCCACCTCCTCCTCCTCCTCCTCCTCCTCCTTGTCCTCCTCCTCCTCCTCCCTCCTTCCTCCTCCCTCCTCCCTCCTTCCTCCTCACTCCTCCCTCTTCCCTCTTCCCTCCTTCTTCCTCACTCCTTCTTCCTCCCTCCTCCTCCTCCTCCTGCTCATCCTGCTCCTCCTCCTTGTTCTCCCTCCCCCCTTCCTCCTCACTCCTCCCTCCTCCCTCCTGATTCCTAACTCCTTTTTCCTCCTCCTCCTCCTCCTCCTCCTCCTCCTCCTCCTCTCCTCCTCCTCCTCCTCCTCTTCCTCCTCCTCCCCCCCTCCTCCTCCTCCTCCTCCTCCTCCTCCTCCTCCTCCTCCTTCTCCTCTTCCTCTTCCTCCGACTGCAGGGCAGAATCTAGACTGCATGGCAGAATCTAGACTGCATGGCAGAATCTAGACTGCTCTGTTGAATGTCGGCTCCGCCGCCAGGTCGCGCGCCAATGGTACAATGTCCGTTGAAGCTTCTACGCGCCAGCTGGCACTCAGCGATGAAATAGCAGCGTCGTCCCCTCCTACCCCTCACACCCCACTTCCTCCCGCTCCTCCTCCTCCTCGTTTTGCCTCTTGCCCGCCTGCTGAGTCCACATCGCGGAGTCCCAATTAAACTTCGGACCCGCTCCTCTTCCTCCTCCTCCTTCGTTTTGCTCCTCCTCCTCCTCCTTCTCATCCTCCCTGTTCCCCCCTCCTCCCTCCTCCTCCTCCTCCTCCCTCCTCCTCCCTCCTCCTCCCTCCTCCTCCTTCTTCCTCACTCATTCGCTCTCAGTCCCTCCCTCCTCCCTCCTTCCTCCCTCCTCCCAGCGGCGATGAGCTTCTGCAGTCCGCCGAAGCCTAGGCGTCTCGATGACCACCTCGTCGCCGTCCCTGCCCAGCGGCCACTCCACGTCCACCTGATCCGTCCAACCGAAAGCCCAGGGGTACGGTAGTCCGAGCTGAATCCAGGGCCCCAGGAGATCCACAGCCTGAGGAGCAGGAGGAGGACGGCGAGGTGGAAGGAGACAACCGCGGCATATTCACAGGGCGTTACTTTTACACGGGCTCGGCCACTAGCTGGGGGAAGATCTCTCTCGCACTCGCGCAGCTTCGCACTGCCCGCACGCATGACACGAACCGAAACCGAAGTCGATGTCCTGGCAGGGGGACGCTCCGTTTCCATGCGGTCTCACCCCCAACCTCCAGAATTGGATGATGAGGAGGATCAGTGAGAGGAGTAGCAGCAGGAACGGCAGTTGCAGAAACAGGAGGGGATGGAGGAGAATTCTCACAATAATAAGAAGGTGTATATACCATGCAGAAGTGCAGGAGAGGTAGGAGGAAGACGATCAGGCGGGCGGAGTGAAGGAGGATCAGGACGACGAGGAGAAGGCGAATGGTCCCGCCCAGCCAGGCTGGCGGAGTCTGCCCTCCAAACCGAACTTTCTACTCCCGGGAACCGTCGACCCCCATCTCTTCCTCCAACTCGACGTCGACGGCCCTCTTCTTTGCCTCTCTCGCTGCTCCTCCCCATCCTCCTCCTGCTCCTGCTCGTGCTCGTGCTCCCGGTGGTTATGCTGCTGCTGCTGCTCCCCACCATCCCTCGCCGTGTCATCAGTTACCTTCTCCTCCGTCTCTCCTCCTCCTCCGTCTCTCCTCCTCCTTCTCCTCCTCCTCCTCCTCCTCCTCCTCCTGCTCGTCAGTTCTAGGCAAGCGTAATCGTCGGCTCCTGGTACTGTACCCACCACCTGGGATCCGAATCCTCCCCGAAGGCTGCTCACGCTTCCTCAGACGAGCGTCTCAGGAAACGCCTCCTCATCCACCGCGACCGTACCGTGCCGTGCGCAACCGAGGTCCGTCCTTCAATGCTACTGCTAATATCTGCTGGTCTTCCGAGTGCGGATCCGCGCCCTCGCATCGCCGCCGATTGCCGCAGGCGCTTCAAGCCGTCAGTGCCAGAGGCTGCCAGATGGGACGCATATTCACGGCGTTCGAAGCAAAGATCTCGCCGGCAGTCGTGCCCACCCTCCACCAATCTGTGACCACGGTGTACTCGCAGACTGGTGGCACCCGGCAGCATTCAGGGAGGGATGGGCGCCTAATTGGTCAGCGCAAGGCCACACAACCGCACGGCTGGATATGAACGAACGGCGCCCGACCAAGGCCGCCGCTCGGGAACTCGTGGCACGGCCGACCTCAAACGGAAGGGCGACGCCCTGAAGTCTTACCGCTCGTGCGCCTTGGGTTTCTGGGCGGGCCCGCACTGCATGCACGTCTGGCACCGCCTTCGCCTGCCGCTGGGCAGGGTGCCTCCGCTGGTGCTGCACCAGGACGGCCTTCGCGTGCAAGAGCAGCAGGCCACCCCCATCGCGGAATCTGGCCCGCGTCGGACCCTGCGCGATGCTGTGGCTGTCGCAACTTGCGGCTCCACCACCTCGGCCGCGTGGGGAGCCGACAGGCTCCGGGTCGGCGGGCAGGCGAATCCACAGCGTGCCTCCCCGCACTTACACACCGCGTCGTCACGGTGACCCGATCGAGCAAGGCGGCGGTCGCTCTCTGTGTCTCCCTCTCTTTCTCTTCCTCTCTCCTCTTCAGGTTGGCCTTGCCGACGCGGATGGCCTGGCCGACGAAGCTGTATGCTCGGCGACAGGGCGCCTCTTCCTGGCGCGCCAACTCCCCGACAGACGCGGCCTCGTGCCCGCGAAGAGCCCTTGGAGGGGCAACGATCGGGGGGGACTGGCGTATAGGGAGGGCGGGAGGGGAAACACCAGCCTGGAATCGGCGATACGTCGCCGATGGATTGGCGATAGGCACCCGATAGCGTGTCCGCACGTTCCTGGGCGGGGTCGGGCTATCGGACCCCTCTCGGCGATCGATGGGCGATTGGGGGTCGATGCATCCCCTCCTACACACAAGAACATCCAGCAAACAAGAAGAACACCAGGCCCCCCCTCCGAACCGACCTCGATCTTATGCCTCGGCCCGACTGTATCGTTGCCCCCGAATGCGGGCGCCTCAGCTCCCTGGCGGCGGCGACCCCAGGCGCGCCCTCCCCGGTGCCCAGAACAAGGCCAATCAAGAAGTGCCACCCGCGGCCCGCGGGAGCCCGTCCTCGGTAGACGAACGTGTTTCACTGCTCGCAAAGTAGGTGCTCGCAAATGGCCTTGCTCCGCCGAGGAGGATCTACGACCCATTACATCAAGGCGACCATGTTTTTGTCGGACGTTTGCGAGTATCGGGTGCGGCCAAGAGGAGGGCGTCCAAGAGAGGGGGGGGGGGGCGCACATCATGGCCGGCGGCATGTGCGCGGCCCTTCGGGGGGGGGGGGTCAGGGACGTAATGAGATAAGAAGGGGCGCCGTGGAACCTGGAGAGAAGTCATGCCCCCGGCCACGATACCCACACACCCCTAGTCATCACCCCCCTCGTTGCTGCCCCCGAGAGCAGGCACTCTTGCGAGTAGCGGAATGCGCCCGGTGACTCGGGCCACTCGAGCCCGTCCCGCCCTCAGCCTACCGGGGTGGTCGTGGATCGGTTGGGCGACGGTCAACAAACGGGTCTCGCGCGAGACGACGCAGCGACCTTACCCGGCAACTTGCGCGGGGCACCATGGTGGCGTGCTACTACACCTGAGACGAGGGCGCCTACGCGCGAGCTTACGCGGGCAGCTTCCGCGCGGACGTCGGCGCAGGTGGACCGATTGATTTGCGTCGCTCAGCTGGTCCTTACTCTTCGTGTCCGTGCTCCTCGGTTGCTGTTCGCGTCGTTGCGATCCTTGCGATTCGAGTTCGGGCTCTCTCTTCGCCTCCCTTGCTTGGCTTGCAGAATTCTTGTGAAGGCGGACGAAGAAGAAGCCAGAGGGAAGTGGTGTAAACAACGGATTGTCGTCCCGAATATGGACGCGATTCGCGAAACGTGTGTTCGATTCCTTCTTGCCCTCATCCGTGACCTGCGTGCAGCCCCAGGTGCCATCACGTGAGCCCCTGCCGTGGTCACCCACGCTCACCCAGTCGAAGACGTCGCGGCCGCACGCAATGCCCACTGGGCGAGAGCAGGTCGCCGAGGCTTCCAGAGCGAGGTCCAGGGGTGAGACTGGCCAGACGTGGCACACGCCGCGACCCAGCAGGCTCGCGAGGCGATGGACTCCGAGAGGGCCTGGCAGCCGCACCTGGGCGCGTGGCCCGCGGTGCCGCGTGCCGCTCGTGCACGTCGGGTCAGCCGCCGGCCAGTGCACGGGGGGCGCCCGAGCAGTCGCAGCTCCGCCGCGGAGCGCGCA